TTCACTTTAATTCCAAATTTCCATTTTTAAGTTAGTTCTATTTGAATTGTATTGTGCTGTAATTTCCATAGGAAGACTTGGTACATTGGTATTTTAGAGTGCCTTTTTAGTCAATTCATCAGCTTGATCATTTCCAAGAATTCCTATGTGGATGGAATCCACATTATTTTCATGTTATCGGCACATATTTTGGGTAAAGCGTAGGTCAAAATTCCTTCGTGGTTTCGATTTAGTACCTTGATTACATTAAGACTATCAATGCAGGTAAGTGTTTTCCCGATACTTGCGAAGCGTGTGTCATTTCTTCAATGACATCTGCTAGCTCTGTGGTGAATACATCTACTCTGTCTGGTAATCGTCCATCACAAATGGTTGCATAGAACTAAGATTTTCTTAAGAATTTTAGAAAGTATGGACAGCAGGGTATTGGTCTATAGCTCTCTATTTGGGAAAGATTTTTCCCGGGTTTTGGTATCAGTGATAGGATTGCGATTTTTCATGCATGTGGTCAGGTTATAAATATTACAGAGACTTTATTGATAAAAAGGGCGTTTCTTACAATAGGAAAAGAGAATTTATATCGTGATGGTGTTATACCTTTCAGTGTTGCCAATGTTTGGTTGGGTTCGATGACATCATATCGAAATGTTGTTTTGGGGCGATTACATTTGAACTAAAGGCGTCGTCAGAGCTCAAGAATTCCGTTGATATTTCTTTAGTATTTGTTATAACTCTATCCAATTTTGTTATGGATGGAAAATTTGTAAGTTTAGGATTTCTCAAATTACTAAGCCTGTTCCAGAGTTCCCTAGCATCCAGAAAAGGATTTACCACTTTACATGCTATTTTAACCATTGTACATATTTTTCTGTAACTACAATCTTTCTCTTGAGAACGACGTTTTTAGAACTTTTCCAAGCTTTATTTCTGTTTTAGATTAGTCTAGCTATTGTGCTGTTAAACCATATGGGAGCATGTTTTTTTAAGGTGTTCTGCTTATGGGGAGAGATTCATAAGCTATAAGTCGACCAATTTGGGCGGCTTCCCTGTTAACTTTATCAGATTCCTGAAAGCAATTATTAAATGTAATTAACTTGGATTGGAATAATTCCCCGTCGGCGTTCTTGAGAATGTATTTTGAAATGTATTGTATATTATCATTCGCATAATTATGGCTTTATATTAGGATATGGAAGTGATCACTAATTTTAGCATATCCAAACGGGACCATGGCAAAAATGGAGCAATGTCGGGACTGAACATTGAGACATCTATGGCTGTTAATGTGTTGAGTGTGGTAAGTGCGGGGGAGCCATCATTAAAAATAACTAGTCCCCTGTATTCAGCAAAGTTTTCCAGATATTAGCAGAAGCAGAATCTAAATAGGATTTCCAGATAGTGCTATGAGCGTTAAGGTCTAGAATAATAAGATGGTGACTTTCTCCAGAATCAAATATTGTGTAGATCATTTCTTGGTTCGTAGTCACGTCATGTTCTTTATAAATATTTGTCAGTAAAATGGAGTTTTTAGAGTCTATTTTAAGGGTTTGGAAAAGAAGCCTGCCTTTGCATAGGTATAATTCTTATGATGCAAAACTTTGTAACCGGGTAAATTTAAATAAAACCTTAGATATTCCATTTAAATAATTTAAAGGTGAGATTAGACATTATAAAATTAATTAAAAATAGCTTTTTTATGTTTTTAAGTGTTTTATTTATTGAGCGTCTGTATGTTTCCCGGGTTAATAATGACGTTTAAAACTGTTTTTTTTTTTTTTTTTTTTTTTTTTTTTTGAAAATCTGATTGCATTGATCTAGTTCGATTGATACGCGATATTGTCTCTTGAGGTGATTCCATTGTCGGATGGAATGTGGTGTGTTATATTTTCTGATAATTGATTTGTTTTTGAGATTTGATTTGATTAGGTGCCGATGATTCGTCTGTTGATGAGCTGGTGAGTGTTGTATTTTGTATCGAAGATGATGATGAGTCAATATTTGTGGTTGTCGGGGTGTTGTTGCTGTTGTTAACAACTTCTGCGAATGTAGCTTTTTTTTAGTCCGGGCGGAGTTATTAGTTGTGTGCTTGTATTGCAATTTAAAGTGTTCCATGCTTCTCGAATAGTGAAACGATTATCACGTTTTATTTTATTAACAGATTTGTGTTTTAAAAAAGTTTACGATGGGTGATGTTGCAAATGTCATCCGTAACGCTAAGTCATCCAAAGCGTTGGGCCCGGACGGAATCTCAATGGTAATGTTGAAGCAGCTGGATACGCCGGGAGTCGAGTACTTAACAAAAGTTCTCAATTTGTCGCTAGCCACCCACATAGTGCCCGAAACCTGGAAAATGGGCCGGGTGGTCCCGCTACTGAAGCCAGGCAAGGATGCCAGTAAAGGCGAATCGTACAGGCCGATTTCGCTTTTGTCGCCAGTAGCAAAGACTCTTGAGGCTTTACTCCTCCCCAGCATTAGAGGAAGCTATGCAGTTGCCAACCACCAGCATGGATTCCGTCCACAACATAGTACCACAACAGCATTACACGCCATTTCCACACATATTAGTAGAGGACTAAACCAGAACAGGCCGTGTGACAGAACAGTGTTGGTAGCCCTTGACCTATCAAAGGCATTTGATACGGTCAATCATGCCACACTGTTTGAGGACGTACAGAGAACTACCCTCCGGCCAAGTTTGAAACGTTGGATAATCAACTATATGTGTGGACGCCAGTCGTACGTGGAATTCCGGAACAAGAAGTCCAAAGCCCGTAGAGTGAAACAGGGAGTTCCCCAAGGTGGGGTGATATCTCCGGAACTGTTTAACCTCTACCTTTCCGGAATTCCTCGCCCTCCAGACGGCATTGAGATCGTAACGTATGCGGATGATTGTACGATCATGACGTCGGGTCCAGTGGTCGATGACATATGCGAAAGGTTGAACCCCTATCTCGCGGAGCTTGCCGCATACTTCCACGCGAGGAATATGAAAATATCCGCCACGAAATCAACGGCCACACTCTTTACCACATGGTCTGCGGAGATGAAAACACAGCTGAATGTTCAGGTCGAGGGGAATTTAATACCGACCACGAACTACCCCAAGATTCTTGGGGTAACGTTCGACAGCATGTTCAAGTCGTCCGCGCAAGCCACAGCTATTTGCGACAAGATGAAAAGTAGGAACAAGGTCCTCAAGGCGCTAGCCGGCAGCTCTTGGGGTGCGGACAAAGAAACCTTGTTGACCTCTTATAACGCGATAGGTCGGTCTGTGGTCAACTATGCGGCTCCAGTGTGGTCTGCGAATACTAGTGCTACGCAGTGGAAGAATATCCAGACCTGCCAGAACGCTGCCCTGAGAACTGCGACAGGGTGCCTCCTCATGACACCAGTGGACCATCTACATGAGGAGGCGAAAGTCCTTCCCTTACGTCAGCATAATCATATGCTTTCGTTGCAGTACCTGCTTGGGTGTTACCGTGAGAGCCATCCCAACCATCACATGGTGGATAACTCTCCCCCACCCAGGCGTGTCAGGAAGGACATACATGATCTAGAGAGGGAGGTCCAGCGCTACAAGAGAGAGCCTCTAGATCAAGAAGCCTATCAGGCAGGTCTGAGTGGCATTCACACCGATGCAGTCGCGGATGCTATTAGCAGTTATAAAGTGAATGCCGTCCTCGGAGTCCACCCCCCATCCATTGCAGCCGAAGAACGTCAGCTGCCTAGACAAACCAGGGTAGTTTTGGCGCAATTACGTTCAGGATGGTGTAGTCGCCTCAATTCGTATTGGGCACGAATTGATGAAGATGTGCGTGACGCCTGCCCGGCGTGTGATACAGGCCCGCACAATACGCTACACCTTTTTAATTGCTCAGCCAAACCTACCCAACTCACTCCAGAGGATCTCTGGCTACAGCCCGTTAAAGTAGCCGAATTTCTAAACCTGGAGCTGGAACCAGATTAGCAGAACACAAACACACACATGTACTACTGCTACAACAACAACAACAACTCCAGAAGATCTCTGGCTACACCCCGTTAAAGTAGCTGAATTTCTAAACCTGGAGCTGGAACCAGATTAGCAGAACGCAAACAAATACATGTACTACTGCTACAACAACAACTTAAAACGGCTATTACTTAAACAAACTATGGATCACGAAAATATTGAAATATGAAGTCCCGTCCGAAGCCCTGCTGTCTGGGACATATAGCAGGTAAGAACATATTGAGCCCCGGCCGAGGAACATCTTTTTATAAAAGCTATTACGTACGTAAAAATTGCAAGCCGAACCAATCATAGCCCCTAACTCAACCTGACCCCACGCAACAATTACTTTGCAGTAATCAGGTTTAAAAATACCTAACTGTGATAAAAATGTTAGACCAATTCGAGCATGACCCCATGTTATTAGTTACAAGCTAAAATCTAGATGCACTTTATTCGGACTTCTTATTTGGATTTTAAAACCGTTCAAATGCACTTTTGCAATGGAATTAAAAATACTATGGCCGGATGAAACATTTAGTAAGAAGCTGAAATTATCTTCGTAGTAAACTACTTAGTAAACTAAACTCGTAGTAAAATTCGTAAAATTAGCTTATCTTAAATTTGTTTTGTATTAAATAAATGTATTAAATATAAGAGAAACCTGGGCTTATTTAACACCTGCTACAGAGTAGATTAAAATTTTCAACTCAATGCAGAGATATTGAATAGATGGGCACATGGTTCGATTTTTACCCACGTTCGTTGTTTTCCTAATGTCCCGTTTTACATTTAGAGGTTTAAACCCGTACCGTAGAACTCGATAAAACAAGGCGTTCATACATAAATTGTAAATACCGCACGTCGGGATAATGATACTCGTATTGTCAGGATGAAAGCGACTACAAGTGGGAAACATTGGGGATAATTCTGAGATGATCTCTTAAAGAACTTAAGACCAACATAATTTGTTCTAATATTTGTCACGTATACATTTTAAAATACTTACAGATATGTTGTTAAAGCTGGGAGTTAATTGATATGCAATAAATGTTTTCATTCCCTTAAATTTTGACTCCTTTTTGGGACTGGCAACAATAACGGAATATGAATGACCTTCATTTGTTTGCCACTGATAATAGGTGTCGTTAGGAACAATTTTAACCAACTCATTATCCGGTAATTTGTCTTTATTGCCAAGACCGAGTATAAAAGAATCCGAACTTTTACCAAACATACTAGATTTTTTTAATGTTGAAGTGTTATTTCCAGACAATGTTGCAGGTAGGGAATTATCTTCGTTTGGCGTGGCTGGCAAATGTCTATTATCATAATTGCTACCGGAGTGCGGAAATGGTTTGTCCGTGATTTTAGAATTTATGCTGTTGCTAGGGCCAATTTCGGAGTATGTGTCATTGTCATCATCCCAATCATCCTCCCAGTCATCGCCGTCGTTATAGTCATCAGCCGTTGAGTCATATCTTCCAGTGTTATGGTGGCTATCAGAAACTGATTGTGAAACGTGAGGTTGTTGGTGGTGTTTTGCTTCCACAGCTGACATTACTTCCACATATGCTGCAGGGAATAGTCCTACACTTCCCGTGTTTTTATTTTTCCCTTTAAAATAGGTTTTTGTATTTAACATCAAAATGAACTATGCGCAAAGTACTTACCTTCCCACCACCCTTCCCCCACGTCAGTGCGAGTCACTTGCAAAACATCCCCAACAGAAATAGATATTTCTGATGTACCAGGCTCTCCGGAAAATTCATATAATGCTCGAACATATGAAGCCATGTTGGTCGTACTATAAAAAATATTATTTTTGCAAGTCAATCAAAAAAATATAGGTGTCGGTCATAACTAGGGATCTAACAACGGATACAGTACTACGAAATCAAATAACCGGTACTATTAACAAGGTAGTCGCATGGTACAATAAGGAGGTAGATCAGCTTCGAAAAACTAAAGAAATACAGCCCTGAGGCTATGCCCGCTTCCTGTCAGAATTATTCAAAATTACATGCAACAAGTTGTTTTCATTTATACGATATTTTTTGTTCATTTTTTAAATGAGTCAAAAAGCGCGAAAGATGAGTGAAATGCCTGGATATTCTCTAAAAAATGTGATCCTAGATGTTCAATCTTTCAATTCCATGGCAAATCTGGTATCCATCATTAATGCGCGCCCCGCAATTTAAGTTTCTTCCAATTACTGATTTTGAAAATATTTTATTTTTTTTTTTTTCAAAACACTAAATACATACACAAAATTGGCAGTGGTCGGGCACACTTAGAAAAAAATTGGTATCAGCTGGTAGCTCTACCTTACCTTTTCATTGTACCATGGGTAGTCGTGTTAAATGAGTGGTGCAATTCGAAGTATAGACAAATTCAGTGTTGCCATATTGAAGAAATTTTACACATGTGTAGACAAGCTCTATAGACAATTTTACACTTTAAGGATTGTCATCTACCAAATCAGCTTAAATACCAAATTTGAAACAGTTTCTGGATTCTCAAATTAACGACTATCGGTGGGGGCTAAACAAAAATGTGGACCTATACATGCATTGTTTCCAATTTTTAGAAAAATCCGCGAAAAAATGTGGCGAAAATCAACAAAATACCGAATATCGGGAGATACCTGGTTATATGGCGCCTATACCAAAACGACAATACAAATTGTTCTGCCAAATTTTGAAGCTCTAAGTCAAATAATGGGGGCTATACTATATATCATGGCTCAATAAGAAAGGTTGCTCAACTTCAAAGAAACAAGAAAAATTAAACTCTATACCGGAGTCTTATAGCGTCAAATATATTCTTAAACATTCAACAATTGGTTTTGTTTATTCTACTCTATTTTCACAAATTTTCTATATTGGGGAAAACCCACAAAATATGAATGAAATATTGGGTAATGGTATTTAAAAAGACTCAAAAATATCGATAAGTAAACGAATTTAAATAAAAAAAAAATATTGTTGTGCAATTTTTTTTATTTCAAAAAAACTATGCTTTTTAAAATAAAGATAAATAGTATTAATATTAATAAATGGTGAAAAATAAACACATAACAAGTTAAAAAGCAGTAAGTTCGGCCGGGCCGAACTTTTAATACCCTCCACCATTTGCAACGAATTTGGAAATTTTCAAAAAATAAAATCCTTAAAAAATTCTGTTAAAATTTTAAAAATACCGAATATAGCCGTTATTTTGGGGTCTATACGACGTGGACATGCATAGGCATTGTTGGTCATAAGCCATTACCATATTCAAATTCGAAACTTGAAATAAACGGTGAACAATGTAGCTAAAATCATCAAAATACCGAATATAGGGAGGTACCGTTATATGGGGACTATACGAAGACCTGGACCCGCACAGACAATTTTCTGTCACAGACTTTAGTTCCCATAACGAACTTCAAATACCAATTTTAAAACAATTCCGGTGAATAATGTCGCTAAAATCATCAAAATACCGAATATAGAGAGGTACCGTTATATGGGGGCTATACGAAGACGTGGACCTGCACGGATAATTTTCCGCCTTAGGATGTAGTATCCATTTTGAACTTCAAATACCAAATTTGAAACAATTCCCGTGAATAATGTCGCTAAAATCATCAAAATACCGAATATCGGGAGGTACCGTTATATGGGGGCTATACGAAGACGTGGACCTGCACGGATAATTTTCCGTCTTAGGGTGTAGTATCCATTTTGAACTTCAAATACCAAATTTAAAACAATTTCCGTGAATAATGTCGCTAAAATCATCAAAATACCGAATATAGGGAGGTACCGTTATATGGGGGCTATATGAAAACGTGGACCTACATGGCCCATTTACGAACTTAACCTGCCTACTGGAAAAATAAACATGTGTGCAAAATTTTAGCCACCTATCTCAATTCATTCGAAAGATAGCGTGATTACAACAGACAGACAGACGGACAGACAGACAGACAGACAGACGGACAGACAGACAGACGGACATCGCTAAATCGACTTAGAATTTTACGCTGATCAAGAATATATATACTTTGTTGGGTCTGATATGAGTATTTCGAGGAGTTACAAACGGAATGACAAAGTTAATATACCCTCCATAGTATGGTGGAGGGTATAAAAATAATCAATAAACAAGTTAAAAAGCAGTAAGTTCGGCCGGGCCGAACTTTGAATACCCTCCACCATTTGGAACGAATTTGGAAATTTAAAAAAAATGTAATCCTTAAAAAATTCTGTTAAATTATAAATATACCGAATATTGCCGTTATATTGGGGTCTATACGACAGGGGCCTACATAGGCATTGTTTGCCATAAGCCATTACCATATTCAAATTCGAAACTTGAAATAAACGGTGAATAATGTGGCTAAAATCATCAAAATATCGTATATAGGGAGGTACCATTATATCGGAGCTGTGCGAAGACCTGGACCAGCATAGACAATTTTCTGTCACTGGCTATAGCATCCATTACTAACGTCAAATACAATATCTCAAACAATTTCAGTGGGTATTGTACCTAAACTCGTCAAAATACCGAATATAGGGAGGTACTGATATATGGGGCCTATACGAAGACCTGGAACTGCATAGACATTTTTCTGTCACAGACTGTAGTTCCTATTACGAACTCTAAATACGTAATTTGAAACACTTCCGGTGAATAATGGCGCTAAAATCATCAAAATACCGAATTTTGGGAGGTACCGTTATATGGGGGCTATACGAAGACCTGGACCTGCATAGACATTTTTTTGTCACTAACTGTAGTTCCCATTACGAACTCTAAATACGTAATTTGAAACAATTCCGGTGAATAATGGCGTTGAAATCATCAAAATACCGAATTTTGGGAGGTACCGTTATATGGGAGCTATACGAAGACGTGGACCTGCACAGACAATTTTCTGTCATAGGCTGTAGTATCCATATCGAACTTCAAATACCAAAATTGAAACAATTCCGGTGAATAATGTCGCTAAAATCATTAAAATACCGAATATCGGGAGGTACCGTTATATGGGGGCTATATGAAAACGTGGACCTACATGGCCCATTTACGAACTTAACCTGCCTACTGGAAAAATAAACAGGTGTGCAAAATTTTAGCCTTCTATCTCAATTCGTTCGAAAGATAGCGTGATAGTATGGTGGAGGGTATAATAATTGAGTTATATAAGGTTGTTTGTCTAAGTTGTTATAATTTTGTAATCGTTGGGTATGGGTAGGCATCGAAAACTGAATTCACTCACTTAAACCATGCAAATTATTATCTTTTATAATCTGGTTGTAGCTTTTGGTGCTTTTGGAACACTCGCACCAAAAATAATGTTCTCTCGACCATTTGACGATTCGTCCAGATCTGGCATGTTATGTATGCCTAATAAGTTGTCTGTTGGTGCTGATTTCTGGTTGAGTGGATATTATTGTGGATCTTTCGTAGCGAGTACTCCCTAGATGGCATTAGAGCTACTACATTATTGGTAATCTTATTTCCTACCTTAGTAGAAATTGGTTCTCTCTGAATATTTTGATTATTGGGCTTCCTTTCTTCCCATTGACACACTTGTGGATTTAGCGGGCCTACCATAAATTTAAAATTTTTTTGTAACTATTTCTCAACTACAATTGGTTTTATAACCTTTTTAGGTCTTTCCTCGATATTTCTGTATTCCACTTCTTGCCTAATTAAGGAATTGTTACTATATCTACAATATTTTCTTCTACTATTTTTTTTCAATAGACAGATGTTTTCAATATTTTAAATAAACTTTCCTTTCCGAAGGACTTAGAGGTTTCCTCACAAGCACCATTAGACAGACTATTTTTTCCTTCGAAAACCCTCTTTTATACCCTCCCTGAAATCAATGGCAGTTTTCCAGCAATCGACATTTTCCCCAAAGTTTTTTGCCATACATTTTTTCTAATCAAATACGAATCGTCTCTTTCTATCCTAAAATGGATTTCTCGGCCTTTTTATTCATTTTAAGAGCACCAAATAAAATAATCATACTTAAAGAGGCTCAGGTGTATCGGTAAGACAAACTTTAGAACCGTCAAAAATCACATGGGTACAAAAACAAAGTAGAACGCACCATAGAGAACAAGCGGGGGTAGGCGATGACGGTAAAATTGTATTGTTCCAACTTTTTTTCTTTAATTATTAATATTCGTTTCTTTCAATTTGCAGTTATTATTTGCTACATGCTTGATTATGGAGGCCAAAAAGGTCTCGCCCTAATGGGTTTCCAGCTGGACTTCATTTTTGGGAGCTCTCGCAACCATATTCCACTTGTTACATGATTTCGAATAAATAAAAACGCGAAAACTGAATGAAAGTTTTTTTTTCAAAATTATGTTTAATATATTTGTAACGATTTATTTCGTCACAAAAAGGGTGTGAAGCATTTTGGTTACAACCATTGTACAATAAGGAGTTAGAACAACTTCGTAAAACTACAGAGATACAGCCCTGAGGCTATGCCCTCTTCCTGTCAGAATTATTCAAAATTATATGCAACAAATTGTTTTCATTTATTTAGTAATTTTCTCATTTTTAAAATGAGTTAAAAAATATGATCCCAGCTGTTTAATCTTTCAATTTCATAGCAAAAGTGTTTATTATCCTCAATATGTGCCCTGCAACATACGTTTGTTTAAATTATTGATTTTCGAAATAATGTGTTTCCATTTTTCTTTTACCTTTCTATTGTACCGTAGCCCATGAAAATCATAAATACACAACCAAATTTGATATGACATTAAATCGATTTGTACCAGCACCCTACCCTCATTTCATGATCATAAACAATGTACTCACAGCTTATTATCAAAAAATCGGGTCAGCAGATTGCATCGTTTCAGGGGTATAA